TAAATGTCCCAAAAGCTGGAGAGAGGCTGAGCCCATCTTGGCCCTGCTGGATTTGGACTCTGCTGCTGTGCCAGCTCTAGGCTGGTGCAGTGATTTACCTGTGCTTCCATTTTATGCCCACCGAGTGATAGTATGAGTGACTGACATGAACAATGGGGCTACAGATGACGGGATGGCTCCCCATCACACCACACCAATGCCTAGTTCTGTAAATCAGAGAAAGAAGCCAGCTTACTGCAAATGGATCCTTATAGCCAATGGATAAGTACAGACCCCTGTAATTTTTTGGGCTTTCCTTAAAAACATGCCTCTCTTCCAGGGGTGTGTGGCCATGAGAGCTCTAACAATCAGCTCTTGAACTTTGAAACGTACTGCTACACCCTTTCTGGTAACACTTCTCCATTGTGGAGAATCGAGGTCTTCCACAAAAGTCTGGTTAAACTTGTGATCAGTACCAGTCATTAGTGAACGTTACATTGCTATTTAAGGAACGACACTCTTTGTAATTTCCATGTTATGTGCAAAAACATGACAGAGAGGAGGAGGAGGTCTATAAGCCAAGGTTCTATTTCTTTTCAGTCGCATGTCCTTCTTCCACTTCAGCTTCAAGGCCTCCTGTGTGGCTCGCAACTGAAAATAGCAATTGTAATTAGAAAGCACACAGCTTAGCTGGGTGCCATTGAAAGGACATTACAATAAAATCACAGCTACTTCCCCCCTCTCCTTTTTACATAGCAGAGAAGCCAGAGAAACAAAACATCACAACTGTAACTCCCCAATGCTTAAATAAATAAATACATGAGAATTCCTGATCATGGGGATGACTGATACTGTTTATAATCCTATTTCAACCTTTCCTATTCAGTGCACAAAGGTCAGGGGTTAAGGTGGTAAGGTGGAGCGTGCAAACCTGTTGCCTTTCTACAGATACAGTTTAAGAATGCAGCTCTCTGTTATCACCCTCAATCTACATCCATGCTGGGTATTTTCCAGAGCAGAGACTACAGCTCCCATCAGCCCCTACTAGAATGGTCAGTGTGGTCAGAGATTATGAGAGTTGTAGTTCAACAGCCAAGTCTAGACTGCTTCTGCATGCATTAGTGCTGATAGTAACACCCTTGCTAAAACTTTTACACTGGCTGCCCGTGTTACCAGGTGAGATTCAAAGTTGTTGTATATGAAGTCTTCAACAACTTGGGTCCAGGATACCTTAGTATCTGAGGCCTTATACCCAAGTTCAATTGCTGAGAGTATCCAAAGGAGCACTTTTACTTGCCCCTCATCTTACATAAGCCTAACTCAGACCCTCCAACTCAGACCCTTCCAGGAACGTCCCTGCTTTAGAGAAGCCATCCCGGTTTCTGATTTCACCCCGGAATGTCCTGCTTTTCCTTAGGATGTTTCATTGGAGAAATGTTGGGAGGTGTGGAGTTATCCTACCCCCAAACCGTCTGAAGGCAATCCTGTATAGGGAATTTTTAAAATGTTTTTTAATGTTTCTTTATATGTTAGAAGCTGCCCAGAGTGGCTGGGGCAACCCAATAAGATGTGTGGGGTATAAATAAAAAAATTATCGTTATGGAATGGGACGTCCCTATTTTCAATGGATAAATGTTGGAGGGTGTGCCAACTGGCTTTGAATAAATGTTGGGCATTTAGTACCATCAGTCCCATGTGAACTACACTTCCAGCAGAGATTTGGCAGGCACCCTCACTTTTGACTTTGGGTGCATTCGGACATAGGAAACATTGTGTTAGTTTTCCAGGTTATAATGCTAGCACTCATATGCCATTTTCTAATTTTGCTTTTGCCTTGCAGTACCCGTTGTGTTATGGAACTGCTGCTTTTTGACCGATACACCAGCATGGTATGCTAAATTCCATTCACACCAGAGGGTGTGGTATGATGCAACAGGGAACATCATTGGACACCATCGCTACTCCCCCTCTGTTTCCGCACTTGCATGTTTCTGTCTCTCAATCATTCACACATGAAAATGGCAGGAAAGGACTGTAAGCCTCTGTGTCGCCCCATATTTTGCCACTTTGTTCCCACAATTTTCTGGGTGAATGAAGTTGCAAAAATAAAATTAATTATTGGAGGCAGTTAACATGGAAATGAGTTCTAAGCTTTCACTAGATTCCACCAGTTTTCCAAAAGTGGCTTTATGTTCTCAGAAAGCTCAAATATAATATCATAATAAACGATTAGTGAAACGTTGAGGAAATGAAACAAGCAGCCATATGAATTGAGACTTTTAGGTCTCACTTCAAGTCCTTTTTTATGTCAATATGCCTTTTAATATGAGCCAATCATTTTATGATAATTATGTAGTATTGCTTTTAATGGTATTTTATATCTCATGTAAATCTTGTACAGCTCCCTGAGATTTTGTATGAGAGGCAGTATATAAATATTTGTATAAAGAAATATAAAATAAAACATCTAAAGGGCACCAGAGGTTTGGAACAACTTCTGTTCTGATTTCTGGGTGTCCATTGAGCCTGTTTGACTTATTTAGTTCAAGAAGAATATTTAATATAAGTAAAATTATTATTGCTTTTGGCTATTCATAGTTCCATATTTTTTCCTCATTTTAAGTATTTTGTTCTTATGGTTTAAGTTGGTTAAATTTCCTAAGTTGGTTTAAGTTTCTTAAGTTCCTTTCTTCAGCACAAACATTCACAGCTCAGTGAATTAGTAATTCTTGTAACACTGCTTTCACAAGTCCTTCAAATATATGGCTTATAAGCCAATATTTCATATAGATATAGATATGTGGCTTGTTTTGGAAACTACTTGATGAGATGTAATTTGATCAAAGTTAGTGAATTCTTTATAACTGCTAAATTGCCTGTGTGGGTGTATGAATTGGTGTGTGCATATTTTATCATTCTTAATTGTTGAGAAGCTCATTTGCCTGTACACAATTATGAAATCATAGCTGTGTGTGTTTCTGGTGGTGGGGAGACCTTTAAGGTGGTACCATATGTTTTTGAACATCACAATAATCATTAGCTGAATTATCAAGACTATAGATATTTATTAGCAGTGACATTTCATGGTTTATTTCCCAGGTTATACTACAGTGGTGACATAAATAATCATAAAAGCCAGTAATTCGGAGCATCAAAACAATTTCATACAAAGGCGTATATTATATCGGGGCTGTAGGGTCATCTGCTTCGTGACTAGTTTGCAGATAGCAGGATATTTGAAACTGTTTAGAAGGAAACTTCTGGTCTTACTTTTAAGGGTGGTTTAAAAGAAAAAGCCATATGTAATGGAAGAGACTGGCCATGTTACTTTGGACTATCCAGCTACTTACTTGATTCTTTGACTTGGTGTGCTTGCTGGGTGGCCATGTGTCTTATTTTACAGGGCACAATCCTCTGTTTGGAGGGTTATAGTGTGGAAAAGCCAAGTTAAAAGTCAAACTTGAGGGGAGATCGGGGCTATTGAACTTACCCACTGAGAGCAGGCACACCAAAAAAAAAAAAAAAAAGCTGTGTTTGCTTTTTTTTTTTGGTGATGACCATATTGCATCATGTGCTTTACTAGTTGGATGAGGAACAGAAGATAAGTGGACCACAGGTATGAAGTTTACGGCATGTAATGCCTTAAGAGAGAATATTATGAAAATGATATACAGGTGGTACATGACCCCAGTCAAGCTTGCAAAAATTTATCATTTGCCCGATAATAAATGTTGGAAATGTAAAGAAACTGAAGGTACATTCTTTCACCTTTGGTGGACGTGCCCAAAGATTAAGGCTTTCTGGGAAATGATATATAATGAACTGAAAAGGGTATTTAAATATACCTTTCTGAAGAAACCAGAGGCCTTTCTCCTGGGCATAGTCGGCCAATTGGTGCCAAAGAAGGATAGAACTTTTTTTATGTATGCCACAACAGCAGCAAGAATACTCATTGCAAAGTATTGGAAGACACAAGATCTACCCACTTTGGAAGAATGGCAGATGAAGGTGATTGACTACATGGAACTGGCGGAAATGACTGGCAGAATCCGAGACCAGGGAGAAGAGTCGGTGAAAGAAGACTGGAAGAAATTTAAGGACTATTTACAGAAATATTGCAAAATTAAGGAACTTTAGAAGGATGTTGGATAGAAACTAAGAGGTTTTTAGCTGTAATGCTTTAAGAGACATGGAAAAAAGGTTAACAATTGGGTAAAAGATTAATGGTAAGGATTTGCTGAACCAACAAATTGAATTGGAATACAAAGAAGGGAGGTATGAGGAGGTCCGGGAAATAAGAGTAAGGAAGATAGGTTATGGAACATTATTGTGTTTTTAACTGTTCTATTTTGTATGTTTTTTTTTCTTATTTTTTACTGTTTTTGTTATATCTTAAAACTTTATACTTTTTCTTTATTCTGTACTTTCATGTATCTTTAATAAATATCATTTAAAAAAAAAAAGGAACAGAAGATAAGTGATAAACATTTTTTGGGGGTATGACAGGAAGCTGCCTTACAAAGCATAACAAAGCCCACATTGCTTTATACGGAATTAGACCATTGGTCCATTGAGCTTAGTGTTGTCTACAGTGATTGGCAGCAACTCTCTAGGGTTTCAGGCAGGGAATCTTTCCCAGCTCTACCTGGAAATGCTTGGGGAGAGGCCCTCCTATTGTACCTAGGGTGGCAACAAGATAGGGCCTTTTCAGTGGTGGTCCCATGTTTCTACAATCCCCCAAAGACATTCACCTGGTGCCAGCATTAATGCAATTTTTTCCTCTTTCCCTAGGCCTTAAAAAATTTAAACTTCTTTTTAATCCCTTGCTCCTTGTAAACTGATGTTCAGATGTTGTGTTCCTTTGCTGGTGGTTAGCCATATTATTAAAATGAATAGCTTTAATGTTGTGTCATCACTTAGAGGCATTAGGCAACTAACAAATGTTAGGTAGTAGTAGACATCACAATACCTAGCCTTTGTCATAATACTGAAACTCGGGAGCATCCAATGTAGCTGAATGTTGGAGAGTTTGAGACAGACACAAGAAAGAATATCTCCACACAGTGAAATTGTGGAATCTTCTCCCACAAGAGCTAGCGACTAAAGGGGTGTTAGACAAATTCATAGATGATAAGGCTATCAATGCCTAATAGCCATAATATTCTACCTGAACTGTCAGAGGCAGCATGTGTCTGAATACTATTTGCTGGGAATTGCAACAAATTCTGATGAGGGCTTTTTCGAAGAAAAAATGCAAACAATGCACAACTGAAGATGTGGAAAAAGTAAGAAACCGAGCAGAAAGTGGACAGGTTTGTCCATTCCTATGTCAGACTAGCATTTATAAGTACCTAGATAAGCACACCAGCTCTCACAGAAATATCCCCTAAAGTCTGATCAGCTAGAATTCTTTCTTTGTACATATGAAATTTTTCAGGACTCCTTTTTTTTTTTTAGCATCCAGGCTTTCTGGTCGCTTCCAGTAGAATAGCACCCAACCTATTTGATGAATAAGGAGGAGAAAACATGGAAGGAATGAACCCACTACATTTTATTGACATTGTTTTCTGCTCCCTTTCCCATAAGAAACCTGTCAAAGTCTTCTACAACTTCAGGTGAAGGAACCTCCTCAGATCCCCAGCAATAAAAGTGAATGGAATATCCTCATGATTAAAATTTCATGGTGGGGAACATCAAGGAAGTGTGTAGATTCGATTCTCTTCTCTTACTTGGCTCAGATATACAGTCATACCTCAGGTTGAATGTGCTTCAGGTTGAGCACTTTCGGGTTGCGCTCTGCAACAACCTGGAAGTAACGGAGCGCGTTACTTCCGGGTTTCGCCGCTCGCGCATGCGCAGACACTCAAAATGACGTCATGCGCGGAAGCGGCAAAACACAACCCGCGCAGATGCGCCGTCGCGTCTTACGTTCCACTCAGGATGCAAATGGTGCTCCGGAATGGATCCTGTTCGCATCCCGAGGTACCACTGTACTGATTTTAGGACATATTCCCACTCAAGACAGTGTCCAACTTATGGCAGAATTTGAAGATGTAACTCCAGTGGCTACTAGCCCCCTTCCCAACAGAAAATAGGTCACCTCATCACCGAAACAGCAAACCATGGAAACTTTATTACAAGTATTCTTCAATCATTTTTAAAAAATGATTGGGAGCATATTCACCCAAGTGCTTTTCAAGCTGCACTGGCTCCTGGTGGAGTACAGGGTCAGATTTAAGGTGCTGCTTTTGACCTTTAAAGCCCTTCACGGCCTAGGACCCTCGTACCTACGGGACCGCCTCTCCCGGTATGCCCCACGGAGGACTTTAAGGTCCATAAATAGCAACACCCTAGTGGTCCTGGGCCCTAAGGAAGTTAGATTAGCTTCAACCAGAGCCAGGGCCTTTTCAACTCTGGCCCCGGCCTGGTGGAACGCTCTGCCTCATGAGACCAGGGCCCTGCAGGATCTGATTTCTTTCCGCAGGGCCTGTAAGACAGAGTTGTTCCGCCTGGCCTTTGGCTTGGAGCCAATTTGATTCCCTCCCTCCCTCTCTTTTCTCTTTTCCTTCTCTTGCGATGAGGCTACATTTTAATATTTTAATGTTCCATTATTTTAATGTTGTATTTTATTTTTGTTTTTAAGTTGTAATCATTCATCTTGTTTTTATTATTGCTTGTAAGCTGCTCTGAGACCGGCCTTGGCTGGGGAGGGCGGGGTATAAATAAAAATTATTATTATTGTTATTATTAAAGTGGGAAGTGGGCCTGTCAATCAGGGATTGTACAAAAGTTGTCAGAACTGTCTCAAAGAAGCTTCCATTGGCCAGGCGGCCGGGCATTGCTTGTGGATCTCTCCTCAGTGTTCTTTCATGCAAACTTTCATGCTCTGTTATCATCCAAGTTAAGAATATAAGAAGATCCCTGCTGGATAAGGGCAAAACCCATCTAGTTCCTCATCTTGTTCTCACAGTGGCCAACGAGATGCCTGTAGGAAGCTGGCAAGCACAACCTGGGTGCAACAGCATTCTCCTGGCTTGTGATTTCCAGTGACTGGTATTCAGAGGCTTACTCCTTCTGACAGAGAAGGCAGAACATAGATTGGATTTAACTCTATCCTAGACACGGGAAATAATGAATAAAAGATAATGAGTAAAACTGAATTTTTAAAAGGTAGCTTGCTGAAAAATAAATTATGGCTTCATTTTGCAACTCCGGGACTCAGAGCTTGTTGCTCCCCTTGATAAGATCTTTATAATCCACAGAATCAGAGCTGTAATAATTTTGTAATTATAATTTGGCTTTTGCAGCTATGAAGAACCCAGATTTATCTTCAAAATTAAGTAATTCTGACTGTGTTTGACCTGAGATGTAACACACTATTAACCATCGCTGTTGCAAAAACCTACAAAGGCCTCATGCTCTATATCAGAGAAACATTAATCACTGCTATGGGGTTATTAATCTAATAAGCATTGTTCAACCAACTTCAGCTCTCTGAAATTTAGTTGCTAAGGTTTTCTCAGTTGACACCAGAAGACTTAGTCACAATCACTAACATGTCTGCTGAAGTAGAAAGTATTTACAGTGGTACCTCTAGATACGAACAGGATCCGTTCCGGAGCCCTGTTCGCATCTAGAGATAAACGTATCTAGCGACGGCACGTCTGCACACACACGCGTCGCTTTTCACCGCTTCTGTGCGTGACGTCATTTTGAGCGTCTGCGCATGCACAAGCAGCGAAATCCGGAAGTATCGCGCTCCGTTACTTCCGGGTTGCCACGGAACGCAACTCGAACACGCTCAACTTGAAGCAATTTTAACCTGAGGTATGACTGTATTGGCATGGCATTGCCATTATATCAGGAGCATATACAAAAGTGGCATGTTATTTTTTATTTTAAAACCAGTTTTCTTTGTCTATTACTTTCATAAAAAGGTTTTGTGGGAACTGGAATACCTTTAAGAACTAACTCTCCGCAAATGATTGTCTGCTGAAGTTCCTCCAGTCATATATTCATTGACATGTTCATAGGTTCGTTGACAGATTCAGAATCAAGTCTCTGGGAATTGTAAGGCTCCTCTATTTCTGCTGCATTTTTTAAAATATGGTCTTCCTCCAATTTTCTACTAGTTGTGTGTAGAGGAAATCATATCTATGGCACATCCCTTCCTTGATCCAGACCAGCATTTCAGCATGCCCCAGGTGAATGATGAAGCAGTCCACTCCAGTCCACTTACGTTGGACTAGCAAAGCAAATGAGATTCCAAAATAAAATTCTTCACTTAATGAGCATAGTCTGAATCCAGAGTCCCTGGCTTCTACATATAACAAGGGCATACATTTTGGGAGAAGGGGGAAGGAGCTGTGTCCCGATATCCCAATTTGCCCTCACCAAAGCAAGAAGTGGGAACATACCTATTGCCTATGCTTCTAACCTCCACCCATGTGAGCTGAATGTCTGAACAGAGTCTACACACATATAAATTGTATGCTCATAGTCAGGGTTCCCAATCCAATAGAAAGGGTACAGTTTCTTCAGACAAGAGCACTGAGCAAAAATGTGTCTCCTTTACCAACATTTTACTTGGTACTAAAGTAAGGCCAAGGGATGCGGGTGGCGCTGTGAGTTAAACCACAGAGCCTAGGGCTTGCCAATCAGAAGGTCTGCGGTTCGAATCCCCGCGACAGGGTGAGCTCCCGTTGCTCGGTGCCTGCTCCTGCCAACCTAGCAGTTCGAAAGCACATCAAAGTGCAAGTAGATAAATAGGTACCGCTCCAGCAGGAAGGTAAACGGCATTTCCGTGCGCTGCTCTGGTTCACCAGAAGCGGCTTAGTCATGCTGGCCACATGACCCGGAAGCTGTATGCCGGCTCCCTCGGCCAATAAAGCGAGATGAGCGCCACAACCCCAGAGTCAGTCACGACTGGACCTAATGGTCAGGGGTCCCTTTACCCTTTTAAAGTAAGGCAAAACATGATAGAGAGGCATTACATTATGCATGGTGTTGAGGAAGTAGATCAATAGAAGTTTTCTCTGTCCCTCTCATGGTATGAGAATACAGGGTCATCTAATGGTGGGAGATTTTAGGGCAAATGAAAGGAGATTAGCATAAAAATCTCTGCTACAAGGTGTAGTAAAGGCCACTGACTTGGTCATCTTTAAAAAGAGATTAGACAACTGTCAGATAAGGCTAAAGGTGGCTATTAGCAATGATGGCTATATTGTCTCCAGCATCAAAGCTGTATGCCTCTGGATACCAGTTTCCAGGGTTGGCAAGTGGGGAGTGCTGTTTTTCTCATGTGCTGCTTGTGGGCTCCCCATGGGACACTGATTGACTACTGTAATTGGCCACCATGGAAACAAAATGCTGGACTAGATAGACCTTTGGTCTGATCCATCATGGCTCTTTTCATGTTATTAATACCCAGCTGCGGTTTCAGAACCACTCTGAATTTTAACCCTGTCCTTTGTAGCATCTGCAGTCCCTTATCAGTTAATGTCGCTTCACTCCAGAGTTGTGCTTCTTCTGGCATCAAGCCTGCTCCACTAACCTTTGGTCCTGTATCTTCCTAATTAACCACGTTTCTCATACTGTGCTATAACATACACTGCCAAAAATCTTTGGATACATTGCAGAAAAGTTCGTGGGACAGAACTAATATATTTTCACTTTCTGTTCACACAAGCCTTCAGATCCAGTCTGCAATACCTGCAGGTTCGGCTAGTGTGCTTTGCTTGCTACTTATTATTCATTTAGATAAGTTATTAAATCCTGCTCTAACTTTCAAAGACAATATTTATGTGAACCTCAGACCCAGCAGGGAGGTCAATGTGGCGCTCCAGGGCTCTTTACCTGACACTTACAACTCTTCCTAAGCAACATTGCATCTCCCCAGACCATGTCTCTCACTAGCCTTGCTTTGCACCCCAAGTAATTTAACCTGGCTGGAAAACAGCCAGCCAGCTAAACTGTGATGATGCATATTGCTTGTCTGCATGGGAGACAGATAAGGGTGTGTAGCCTACTGTACAAAGGTAACATTTATATCTATTGCACTGCCCATTTTCCCATCTGGCCTGCCCACCACTGGCATGTGGCCCTTGAAAAGTTGCCCAGGAGGCAGTGTGGCCCTCAAGCTGAAAAAGATTTCCTACCCCTGGTTTACAACTGTATCCTAAAGATATCACAAGTAAAAAATCCTTCATCCTTTCTCTACATTTTGTGTCCCTCTTTATTCGGTTAATACAGGCAACAAACTCCAAAGAGGTGGTTAAGTTCCACTTCATCTTATTTCAGCTTCCTATTGTTTTATTGCACTTAATACAATATTTTATAGCGATGCTACTTGACTTTATAATATTCGCGAGAAAACATTAGAATTCATGTTGATGTATTATGCACCCAAATGTGCATGTAATGACCAAAAACAACCAATTTTTATGTCACTTCAGATTCCCCATGCTCTCCTCCCCACCTCTAGTCATTTTCTAAAAGCTTTAAGTATCATTCTCCCCATTTTGAGTGACTAATATATACTTGGGAAAAGATAATGCAGCTTATTCTGTCATTGTGCCAAATGAATGGAAGGGATGAATAAGCAGAATATCCATTAAATTGAGCCTCTCCCCCCCCCCCACGCACACCCGAGTCTAACAAAGCTTTAAAATGGAAAATACCATATTAG